AGAGAGACTGTGACTGACATACAACAAGCATCATTTCAAGAATTCATAGAACACAAAAAAATCTGTCATGTTCTGATATGAGCATATAGCCCATCCGTGGAAGTTCTACTGCATGCAATACCATCTGCATCAGCTTCACAGAACAAAACACTGGTCACATAAGTATACATCTTCATCATTTCATTCTTATTGAAAATGCCCTTCCACTGATTCTCAGTCACCTTCCACACTAATAGCCTTTTATATAAGATAGGTTCCTCCTGTTTCTGTGTCTTCTGTTTTTTTCACATGAATATTTTTATGCCATTAAATTATTTGAAAATTGCCATGTTCTGACTTTTTTCTAGTCCCCTGTCTTGAACTTGTAATGCTATTACTCTTGCCTTTACTTCTCCTTCACATCTCCCATTCATGATTCAAGGACTTTCTTCTCCCCTTAGAGACAAGAGTTATGCAATTTGGGAGTTTTTTAGATAGACCCACTGAAGAGGTACTCCAATTGCCTCACCCTGTGTCCCTGTTCAGCACAGAAGAAGCCAGAAGAGTCTGTGTCCCTATTCTCTATTGGCAATTTGGGTAACCCCTTCAGAGGAAGGAGTGATAAGAATAGGAGGTAGGAATTGGCTAGGCAGTCAGGGTAAAAAGACCACAAAGAAATGTAGCCAGTTTCTTGGCTAAAAGTCAAAATTTCCTTGGGACTGTTAGCAACGTACTCTGTTCCAAAGGCCAAAAATGTCAAAAGTATTTGGGAGCTTGTATCTAATCCTTAAAAGATTTTAGGGTTACCTCTTCAGCGGGGGGAATGTTGGAGGGGAGGGAATGGGCATGGATTTGACCATATCACCTTATATGCATGTATGAAATTCTCAATAAAGTTTTTGTAAAAGTTAAAAAAGTTATTGAAGATTCATATTCCTATTTTACATTATGCTTATATCTAAAATATTTCTTCACATTTTCATTATCTTTAGAATTATTATTTTCTACAATTTATTTTACTAGTGAATAAGAGCTCTCCATTTTTCAGAGTACACATTCTTTTAATTTTAGGTTATGTTAAATTTACCTACTGTAAATGAATTCTTATCTGTATATAATTGATAGAAGCAATTTCTTATCTTTTTTATTTAAGAAAAAGAGAGAGCATCTCACATTATAGCTCATTGTGTTATCCAAGCAGCACTTAAACTTACAGTAATCTTTCCACTTTAGCCTCCAAAGTGTTGAGATTAAAAGCAGAAGGCATCGCACCCAGATGGGAGCAATTGCTTAACCATGGCTCCATGTTTGCTGGCTCTAAAGACCCTTGAAAAATACTTCACATTTCCATTCTAGACATTTATTCTATAGTGTTTAATTAGAAAGCAGCAAACTCATCATAGGAAAAGTCCCGTTTCTTCCTGATTAACTGACCATTCGCTCCTCACTAGTAAACCACTGATCACTCTTACAAGGGCAGCAGGGAGGTCCTGATTTAAAGAAGGAAAGAAGCCTGATATGGTGGCACGCACTACCTTTATTCCCAGACTCGGGAGGCAGAGGCAGGCAGGCGAATCTCTGTAATATCGAAACCTGTCTGAGTTTACATGTCAGAAAAGAAAGAAAGAAAGAAAGAAAGAAAGAAAGAAAGAAAGAAAGAAAGCAAGAAAGAAAGAAAGAAAGAAAGAAAGAAAGAAAGAAAGGAAAAGAAAAAAGAAAGAACCGGAAAAGAAGTCTAACAAACAAACAAACAAACAGAAAACAACAAACAACAAGCAGAGCTGTGCAAGCCAGCGTGGGTCCGTTGGGTTAAAGCATGCTCTTTTTCCAAAGGAAACCAGTCACCCTAAACTGAGCAGGACGTTGTACATGGCTGGTCAGAACCTAAGCTTAGCTGCAAAAAGCCATCTTATGGTTGCTTATGTTGTGGCTGAAAAAAGTTTACATCAAAGGCATATCACATCTTTATTTTTTTTATTTTTCACTTTTGATGTTTTCCCATGGTTAGAATAAATCATCGTATGTTTACCATACATAATTTTTTGAAAGAGTGTCAATCCGTATCACAGGTCTCTAACTTGCTATATAGTCGAGCATGACTTTGACTTATCCATCTATCTCCATCTCCCTTTTACTGGGATTCAGTCTTGCACTTCTACTCCTAGATTACACACTGCTGAGATCCAATCCAGGCCTCTGTGTGTGCTAGGCAAGCATTTGCCAGCTAAGTTACATACCTAGATCCATTACACAAAAACTCCTAGAGAGAGACAATTGTGCATTATGAAGATAGTTTTCTGCTTGTTCATCTTGCTTAACAAAATCATATAAATTTTTCTAGTTTTCTTCTTTTCATCAAACTGTCTGATAATGGAAAACTCATTTTTATTTGTACAAAAGTGCCAATTGATAACTAGCCTTAGATTGTTTAGCATTTTAGAGAAACTCAATACAAAATATAACTCAGTAAGAAGATATGTTAACTAATGGTTTTGAACAATTGAAACATAGTAAGTTGAGAAAAGTCAAGACAAAAAGCATATAACCACCAGTTATCATGAAATAAATCTAAAAGATGACATCATGGCTAAGGAGGGAGGTTTTGTTTTTCCAGTCTTTACTTTGGCTTTTTTTTTTTTTTTTTCAGTCTATACCAGAAAAACCATAGAGGGAGGACATTACAATTGTATAGCTAGAATGAGAAGGGGTTCATTCACTGTTGGTCATTTAAATATTATCTTATCAAATATTCAATTTTACCAAATAGTCACAGGTTTTAAATGACCATTTTGAAGTGTCTTAAAGAAATACATGTGTAAAGAAATAAAACAACTCTCAAGTTATAAAATCTGAAATCAGAAAAATGTGGGACTATGCAAAGCAGCAGCACTGTTTAACAAGGCAAACAGGTCAGTGTAAAGTTTTATAAGTATAGGATTTCTACACATTTTAACTATAAAACAAATAGCTCTGAATCGCACCTAAAGTATTTCCCATGATTAACTTTTAGGAGTAGTTTAAGATTAATGTTTGAAATCTCTCCCACCCACCTCTGGCTAGGCTGACTTAAAATACAACAAAGTATGGGTGAGTCCTGAATTACCTGCCAGTTTATGAAGAAAAACCAAACCAAACAACACCACCAAAAACCCCAGTAAGCTTTGCTTTGTGGAAGTGTGCTTTCCACAGAGGTGTTGACAGACGGCAGTTCCCTAAGTAGCTTAGAGACAAGGAGAGGTATTGGTTGCTCCAAGGAGAGAAAACTGTGACTACATCATGAGATAAGATCTCTTACTTTAAATTTTGCCCTGAGCAGACATTTCAGCTAAACAGCTCTCCCTGAAAGAACTAGACAAAGACTTTCCTTTAAATTCCTGACTTCATTTTTTTTTTAAAGTCTCATAGATTATGTGCTGTTTGCTTTTTAGTTTCGTTTCAATGTTTTGCTTAAATGGTATGATAAATAATTAACTTGTTTTAATTCACTAGTGACTTGCAAGGCTATTAATGGTGGTATAGTTAATTCTCTGAGGCATGACGAAAGATAACTTTGAGAAGCAGTTTTTTAAACTTTCCCTGAAAGCTGACCACCTTGTTTCATGTTGTTCACAGTAGCACTTGTTGCATGCAACCGATGTAGCAAGCAATATATTCAACTTTGAAAAAGTATTTCATTTCTCCTTCCCCCTTATTCATCTTATCTTCTACCTTTTCATTCAAGTCAAACTGCCCCAACTAAAAAATGTGTGCCTGTGTGTGTGAAAGAAATAGAAGTAGAATCACCTTTATTATTATTAATTTTTATACTATATTGCCTGTATGTGTATGATGCAAGTGTGTGAGTGTGCATGTGAACATGAGCATTCACATGCTGCAGTGTACATATGTAGGCCAGAGGATAAGGAGTCAGTGTGATTCAGTTTTCTCTTATCATGTGGGTTGTGTAAATGGAGCTCAGGTCCTCAACTCAAGCTTAACAGCCATCAATTTAAGACCCTCCCCCCCACCCCAAGATATTTCATCAGCTCAGGATCAAATTCTGAATTCTTTCAGTTAATATTAGAACTTTTAATGTTTTACCTCTAAAATGCATTCATATACATAAGCATTAGATAAATATATGAAGTTAGGTTAATATTTATAGTAAAGTCTACAGATCAACATTTAAATTTTTATTGTTTCTTCAAGTGACTAAAAAGATACCAACCTGAAGTTACTTGGAATCATGGAGTCCAAATTAAATCTAACATAGTTTAATATGTAGTTTTCAAAACTAACTTATAATGGCTAAGTTATTTGCATTAACTATGGGAAGGCACACATGATCTAGGAAGCCTGGGTCTGCTTATGTTTGTTTTAACATTGTAGAGGATTGAACCCAAAACCTGCAGGGCCTCAAGCACGCTATGCTAAGACCGTATTGCTCAGTCACTTCCACAGTCCCTTAATATATTTTGTAGATATTGTGATCCTCATAACTTTTTGCAGTATTGTTTTTACTTAGGTTTGGCTTGACTTATTTTGTTTCCTTTTTATTTGAGACAGAGCCTCCTGTGTCCCAGGCTGGCCTTGAACTTGCTATGTAGTTTAGATTGGCTTTACCCTTCCAAGGGCAGAGAGTTA